AAGAGAGAGGGAGATGAGGGGCAGGTATGTGAGAAATGTTGCCTATTAGCAACAGCTCATGGTCAGGGCAGGTGGCTTGCCCTGCTATTCTGGGGCAGCATACATTTCAGGTTGATACACCCGCCTTCCCACCCTCTTGGACCATGGGCTGCCATTACTCCAGCCGTGCAACCAGTGCCAAAATGATGAAATAGCTGCCCCACATTTTAAACCTGAATTGCCACCTTAGATCAGTGGTTCTCAACCTTGAGTAACCCAGGTGTTCTTGGAGTGCAATTCCCAGAAACCCTGTTTAAAAAAACTGATGGTGAAGACTTGTAGAAACTGTAGTCCAAGAACACCTGGATTACTCAAGGTTGGGAATCACTGACTTAGATAAAAGGAGGGGACCTGCAACTTTCCAGAGGGGACCTCCAAGCAGTTCTGGGCCAACATGATCAACGGAAATTGTAGCTCAAGAGCATCTCGAAGGCTGCAGATTCCTTCTTAGATGGACATGACAGTGAATGCATCTAATACGACAAAGCCTCTTCCCGCTATAGTTTTGTTGGGAACTGCACTGCTAAAATGCATAGCTGATGCCTGCTGGAGTCTTTTTCCCTTTTTCTAATCCAACATCAAACCTCATCAGGCTTTCAGGTTGAATACACACCATCTGATACATCTTCCCTGCTCCACAGAGGACCACAGACTCAGCACATTTAGACAAACAGTTTTATGGCTGCAACTCCAGGAGAAGCAGTGGGAGGGGTGGGCTGAGAGAGAACGGGACAGCCATCAAAGTTGCTGCATTGTGTCGTCCTGGTTTCTCCTTTCTTCAGCAAGTCAGAGGCAGCTCCCTCTCGCTTCTGATGAGCCCCCCCTGCGATATACAGTGTGTGAGTGGAACTAAAAGGAGGCAGTGGTGCTTCCTGCAGAGACTTTGGAGCAGGAGGAGAAGAATTTGGGTTTTGTTCCTCACAGTCCTTGCCCACAGCGTTTCATCCAGTGCCTTTTGCCTGAGTCTGGAGCATGCTGCAGCATTCCTGTCCCAGGCACCTAAGCAAGAAGCAGCTGTGAGCGCAACTTTCCTGCATCAGCATTTTCAAGCCAGACCTCACTGCTCCCTGCAATTTCCGCAGTTTTAAGAAAGTGTAGACACAGCAAAGCTTGAACGGGGGGGGGGGGGGAGGAGAACATTCCTAAGGGAGGAGGGAGATGAAATTGTAGAATGGGTATTAAACCTCTGGACAAAAGGTCGGGTCTGGCCACTGAGGAAAGTCAAAGGGAAAAGGAATGTATATTTTCAGGACTCTTCTTCCCTGTTCCCTCAGTGCCGAAGCCCCACCTATACCAGACCGTGAGCTTCTAGTACAGTATTAGTGAGGAGAAACCACCAGGCAGGACTTCTTTTCCACAAGTACACACCCACTGTTTTCAGAGTGCAGACATATGGCACACACTCCTCTTGGGAGAAAAAACGGCTCCTTAATTTAGCCTAGGGGAGCTTATGGTGCTTGCCAGGAGCCCTGCCCCATGGCTGAGCATGTGCCACTGAGTATTTTGGGATGCAGGGACTTGTATTGAATCAGCTTGGATCTAGGCTAGGAAGCAAAACAAAAAAAAATGCTTTTTCACCGTTCAAATCAGCACCTGCAGGCTGAAAGGGCCCCTTCTGCACAATACATTTTTTTGCTCCAGGCATCTTGGTCTCTCTCTCACCTTTAATTCCAGCCAGGGCTCTGTTAACTGAGGTCAGTTGCAGAGCTGTGGGGTGAATGATCCCTGCTCATGAGGTAAGCAAGGCTGCTGGGAAAAATACAGCAAGGGACAGAATTGATTTAGAAAAATTTCCAGTGAACAACACTCTTTGGCTCTAGAAAATTAATTTTGAAAGTGCTAGCTCAGCCACATTTCTTGTGATGAAATTGTGGAACTATAGCGGACCAAGGGTTAGAAGAAGAATAAAAACTGCTAGTCATTCTGACAAGGCGTCTAGAAGGGCAGCTCTGGAGGTGTGGATGAAGTCTGTTTTGGAAACTTAAATGCTGAAGTTCTTTTTGTGAAAGAATTCCCCACCGGAATGCTCTGAGCAAACCAGCTACTGGTCAAACAGTAGTTCTGTACCATTTCCACTGCATTTATTGAGACATCAGTCTCTTCTTGATTTATGTAAGGGAGCTGCCAGCATTTCTGGACTCTCCTTATGAGGTGTGATGATGGCTATGGAGACTGTCATGATGAGCACCTGCCCTTCTAAATGTACCACTCTGTCACTGGTGCTTGGCACACAGATTCCTGACTGAAATCTGGCAGGTTTACACCCCTTCTCAGGGACTACTCTAGTTACATATTTAATGTAATCAACGCAAAAACAAAAAAGTTAGAGGCAATTAAATTTTCCTGTCTATTGACTTTGCAAATTTCCAGGTTGATTTGCATCGCGCACACATATTGCCCCAGAGGCCCTGCATCTAGCTACAAACTGAATTGTGGGGCCCTGCACTGCCCCATCTGGTACCTCTTCTACCTCTCTAAAACCATTCATGTCCTGGAGAGGGATCTTCTCCCTTGCCCCCATTTCCAGTGGCTTTTATGCAGTCTTTCTACAAAGTCTGTCTCTAAGGTAAGAAGGGAAATACTGTAATAGGGAGATGCAAGGTTTGTGGTAGGGAAAACATGATTTTTCCCAGGGCAACGGGTGCTTGAGAAGACAAGACTATTCGGAGAAGACAGGAACGCCGGGAAAAATGGGAGGCAACAGGAAAAGAGGTAGACCAAAACACGAGATGGATTGACTCAGTAAGAGGAAACCACAGTCTTGAATTCCAACCAGTGAGCTGGACTCTTGTGGATCGGGAGGGTCGCCATAAGTCGGAAGCGACTTGATCGCACATGTAGCAAACACCACGCGTGCTCCCCCCCCCGGTCTCTCATTCAATCCGTAGGGGCGGTTTTTTTTTTTAATTTCAGGAGGGAATCATCTACCCTTCCTCGTTCCCGAAGAGAATTCTGCGCGTCTTTAAGGACCGTCAGCTTGTGCCTTTCCTCGGCTTTACTTACGTCGGTCCACATTAATATTTACCGAGCCAAAGGGTGGGAGCGACACCTAC